AAATTCATTGCACTGTTTATTCAAACGCCTGGTCGAATAACCAGGTCTTCACTCTTCTCCGGAATACCATCAATGAGGGAGCCAATCTGATGTCCGTGGGAAGGGCGTTCCACAGCCGAGGGGCCACCACTGAGAAGGCCCTGTCTCTCGTCCCCGCCAGCCGCGCCTGCGATGCAGGCGGGATCGAGAGCAGGGCCTCCCCGGAAGATCTCAAAGTCCTAGTAGGTTCATAGGTGGAGATGCGATCGGACAGGTAACTTGGGCCAGAACCGTTTAGGGCTTTATAGGCCAAAGCCAGCACTTTGAATTGGGCCCAAAATTAAGTCTGAAACCTGAGCTACAGTTGGGTTCCACATTTCTGAAAAGTTATATTGTGGTATTTTTCTCCATGCCAATTAAGGTATTATTGTCATTTTCTGTTACTGATATGTAAAAGATGATAGAATTTAGGCAGAACAAATGTGGAGACACATCATTATTCTTAAGGTGTGTTTATATATCAGTTTTCTTTGAGGTTCAGGAATAAATTGCCACAGCTGATATTCAGATACAATGATTTAATGCAAGGTTATCTTTACATGTTCACACCTTAATTTTTCACCAGGTCTTGCATAACGGACAATTCAGAGTAGGTGAAAGCGAACTAGATTATTTGGACTTCGGATAATAATTTTGATGTACCAGTCTATTGAAAATGCAGCACTGTAACACTTAGTATGCAACAATTATCGGTTTAGCCAGTTCAGTGATTGGTGGCCAGGTTACTAACTGGAATGCAGTACCATGAGAGGTCTACTCCCATGTTGCGGGAGCTCCACTGGCTGCTGGTCTGCTTCTGGGCTAAATACAAAGTGCTGGTCATTACCTAAATGGTTCGGGCCCAGGCTATTTCACATCCCGCATCCCTGCTTATAAACCTGTTTGGACTTTGCGATCATTGGAGGGGGCCCTCCTCTCGGTCCCACTCCTTTCTCAAGCATGGCTGGTGGGAATGAGGGGGGGGGGAGTCTCTGTGGTTGCCTCTTCCCTCTGGAACTCCCTCCCAAAAGTAATTAGAACAGCTCTCACTCTCCTCTCCTTTCAGAAAGTGCTAAAAACCCACCTTTGCTCACTTGCCTATGGAGAGGAGGATGAGTAACACCATTGACTCTCTAAGAGGAATGCAGATGACAATAACAATTTTATTGTAATTTATTGAAGAGCTATATTTTTTTACTTCATTCAACTTAATTACTCGACTGTATGTTCCATGATGTCTGACTGCCAAATTATCAGCCATTGTTTTTATTCTACTTTAACTTATTTGCATAAATGTATTATGTTGTTCTAATGACATTGAATGTTTGTCAGTTTTTATGTTTCATGCGTGGAAGCCACCCTGAGTCCCTCCAGGGAGATAGGGCAGGTTGGAAATAAACTTCTTCTTCTTCTTCTTCTTCTTCTTCTTCTTCTTCTTCTTCTTCTTCTTCTTCTTCTTCTTCTTCTTCTTCTTCTTCTTAATTTGCACAGTATGTATCTGAGAAGGAGGGGGAGATATACTACTAAAGATTGTTAATTTGCACACCCATTCAATGGCTCCGGCGAATGTGCTGGTTCAGAGACCAGCATACATTAGCAGCTCTGAAATCTGTCCATGGATAAAGATTCACATTCCAAGTTTTTTGAATGGGGCACCCATTTAAAGAACCTTCTTGTCAGAACTGGAGTTCCATAGAGCCTCAGATAGTCTAGTCTAAGGGTGCATCTACACTGTAGAATTCATGCCTTTTGACCCCACTCTAACTGCCAGGGCTGAATGCTATGGGATTGTGGGAATTGTTGTTTTACAAGGTTTTTAGCCTTCTCTATCAAAGAGCGCTGGCGCCTCACCAAACAACATACACCAACATTCTAGGCAGTGAGCTACGAAAGTTAAAGTGATATCAAACTGAATTCATTCTACAGTATAGATGCCTATCCCCAAAAATCTGTAGATGGAGCATTAGAAGTACTTAAGTTTTTAGCAGTTATTGTATGTTTTAAGGCACCATGGAGGTGCAATTGTAAGCCACCTTGAGTCCTCCTCGGAGTAGAGAAAGGCAGGATATAAATAAGGTAAATAAATAAATAAAATCCCCAAACCACTGTGTTGGTACAAGTCCATTTTAGTAAAAAAGCTTAATCAAATATTATGTTAATTAGGACCATCAAAAGTTGAACCCTGGGCAACTTTGGCACAGACACTTTTTGGCCCCAAGCTGAATACATTTCTAGATAGAGAGAATAATTCTCCTCTGACCCTTTAAAATGGTTTAGAACAGGGATGGAAAGTCTGTGTGCCTCTAGATGTGGTTGAACTAAAACTCCCATTATCCCTCAATATGGATTGTGTCAGCTAGGTCTAATGGGAGTCCAGGATGTCAGTAACCAATACTCAAGATGCTTCCTTCCTAGTTTAAGACATAGTGTCTGTTCATCAGGATACCAAAGGAAGGTTCATGCTCTTAATTACAGGGAAGTTAAAGGTGAGGTATCTAAACAGCATGGAAAGTAGAATGACAATGCATTATGTAAATTGAGCTTAAGTAGGACAAGTGAACAGAATGATATGGTATTAATTTGCCATGGGACTAGTGTGTGAAAAAAGTCATTTTTGGTGATCCTAAGAGGAATGTACCACTGGGTTTCCTGAGAATGAGAAAGTGAAATTTGCCCAAGATTACCCAGTGGGATTCCATAGTTGAAAGGGAAATTGAACCCTGGTCTCCAATGCTCAAAGCACTACATCCTCCTGGCTTGCTTGTGCCTCTTCTGCTACACTCCAAACCAGAGTCATGCACATTTTAGGGGTTCATGTGCACACCAGAATACACTTTCCTATCTTGGGCCTCTCCGAACCCAAGACAGGAAAGTAAATATCAGAAATCTTGTTTATTCCTCTCCACTCCAACCCAATCCCAGTGTCAAAGGTGTTTTAGTTTAACATGCTGAAAGGGAACACTACTAAGACACAATTTAACACCAAAAACAACAACAGCAGCAGCAGCAGCAGCAGCAACAACAACAACAACAACAACAACAACACACTAGGAAAATTGGCCAGAATTGTTTGAGGAATACATGAAATGTTGATGAATAATTACCATCTTACTATCTTATCTATCTATCTATCTATCTATCTATCTATCTATCCAGTTTAATTGATTAATTATGAATTAGAATGAGCCGTCTTTGCCAGATATATGCAACAAGTTTCTTGTTTCAAATATTTGTTTTCACGCTTTGATAATGATTACACTATTATTGATCTCAAAATGTTGAAACATCTTAGCTATAGTTTGATATTAGTTTGGGAATTCCATTTGATTAATTTTACTTTAATTTTTTATCATCATTAAGGTTATCTAACTCAAAGTGTTCATAATTTAATATCATTGCATGATTAATTACATTTCAGAAAACATAAACAGGAATTATTTTTGAGCACCACCACATAGTTTACATTAGATAACACAATTTGTCAAGAATTCTATTAATTTGAACACATTTTGAGTTTTCATTTTTTTAACTGTATGAGTAGAAAAATGGTTCAGCTAGTACTGTCTTTGCATTGTTCTTTTTATCTATATATATATTTCTTTTATTTTACGCTATTTGCTTCGCAGCGTACCAATAATAATCCTTACTAATGACCTTGTTGCTTTTCTGACTCAGCACCCCAACTTGAATCAACTTTAGATTCAAGTTGGGGTGCTAAGTCAGAAAATTGCATTTGATAGACTACATCAGCTCTAGTTTCTGATACAGAACACATGCCATGTGTTACTGATTTGTAACTCTTTGTGTACTAATGTTGGAGAGTGGTCTCTGGTCAAGTGGTCCCTGATCAAAGTGGTCCCTGGTCAAAGTGGTCCCTGGCCAAAGTGGTCCCTGGTCAAGTGGTCCCTGGTCAAAGTGGTCCCTGGTCAAGTAGTCTTTGGTCAAAGTGGTCCCTGTCTAGTGGTCCCTGTCAAGTGGTCTCTGGTCAAAGTGGTCCCTGGTCAAAGTGGTCCCTAGTCAAAGTGGTCCCTGGTCAAAATGCTCCCTTGTCAAATAGTCTTTGGTCAAAGTGGTCCCTGGTCAAGTGGTCCCAGTCAAATGGTCTTTGGTCAAAGTGGTCCATGGTCAAAGTGGTCCCAGTCAAATGGTCCCTGGTCAAAGTGGTCCCTGTCAAGTGGTCCCTGGTCAAAGTAGTCCCTGATTAAAGTGGTCCCTGTCTAGTGATCCCTGTCAAGTGGTCTCTGGTCAAAGTGGTACCTAGTCAAGTGGTCCCTGGTCAAGTGGTCCCTGGTCAAAATGCTCCCTGGTCAAGTAGTCTTTGGTCAAAGTGGTCCCTGGTCAAGTGGTCCCAGTCAAATGGTCTCTGGTCAAAGTGGTCCATGGTCAAATGGTCTCTGGTCAAAATGGTCCCTGGTCAGAAAAGGTTGGGAACTACTGATCTAGAGAATGATCTTTTAAAAATAATCTCTCCACTCTGATCCACAATGAGTCGGTCCTAATAAGATGATGGTTTTGTCAGCATCTATCTGAATAAATAGTCTCAAAATAAGGTAGAAGAGTATAAGGTAAAATTGCTGGCATACACTCTAATATGTTTTAAAACATGATACATTTCCCTCAGCTCTGCTGTATTGGATTAAGAGGTATATATATTCCCAATGTTAGCAAAAATTTCAAAACAGCAAAACCTCCAGGAAAATATACAGATATATGTTCTCTTCATTTTATTTAGCAACCAAATACAGGTAGCAGACAAAAAAAAAAGGAAACAAATACATGTTGCTCTTCAGCGTCCTGTATCTTATGATGTCACTAGCTCCCACTCATGACTATGCTGTTTTGTTTCTTTTGGGAAACTCTTTGAAATATGCAAATGAATCTTTGACAGAAATTGAGAGTATAGTCTCCACCCTCAGCCAGGTAGAAGGAAATTTCCTCCAAGGCCTTTCATGTATATAAAGGACCACAGTGAAGAAGCTAGAATTACATACATCACTACAACTCACAGCATCTTGGCAAGGTAAGCAATGGGATGTAATATGTGCTTTCTATTTAAAATTCTAAATGCAACATATTTTAATGGTTGACCATAAGGAAGAAATACATTTAACTGATCAGAGAATAAAAAGGTGACTTAAGTTTTATTTATCTATACTATATTATAGTTGAATTATGTAGCTGTATCAGTGGTTCTCAACTCATTGCCTTCCAGATGTTTTAGACTCTAAATCCCAGAATCCCTGGCTATTGGCCATATTGATTGAGGCTTCTGGGAGCTGAAACAAAAATGGAGAGCAAAGTTGAGGACCATTATTCTGCTTCTAATTATACAACAGTAATACAGATTTAAATGTATATTCATGCCAATCTGAAGTTAATTTACTTAAAAGAAGATTCCACTCATAACAACAAAGCACACAATAAGAATTTATCAGGATAGTAGTGGTAACGTTGGCTCCTTCTACACTGCCCTATATCCCAGGATCTGATCCCAGATTATCTGCTTATCCCAGATTATCTTGTAATATAGACTAGTATAATCCAGTTCAAAGCAGATAATCTGGAATCAGATCCTGGGATATAAGGCTTTTGTAGATCCAGTCTGATAGGTATGTTTATTGTTAACTGCTATCAAGTCAGTTTTGACCCATGCAATTCTATGAATGATAGACCTCCAGATCACCCTTTGAATGACAGTCCTGTTCAAACTTGCAAACTTGCAAACTCAGGGCTGTGGTTTCCTTGCCTCCTTAAATGTAAATCCATCTGGGCTTATTCCTTAATTTTGTATTGTACAAAATAGCATCCTAAATGGCTTCTCAAAATCCAGTTGGATTTGGACCAACATTAAAAAATAGATTACTTATCTTCTCATCTGAATAACCTGATATGTAAAACAGCAATACCATTCATCCAAACTTCTGATATTCATATTTCTTATCCTTTTGATTCATAAGTGTTCACTGTAAAATAATAGATGAAAATTCAGATTACCATAATTCATATTCTAAAGATGCAAATCTGATTTAAATAGCTTTTCATAGGGCTGTAATGGAAAAAAAACTCCCCCTCCCCCAATATTGTGTCTGTTTTTAATGTATTCTGGGTGATGAATTTGCTAAGCATGATAAAATGTCATATCACACGGGAGTCTTTTGCAAATTTTATATTTTTATCCATTCAGATTTTTATTTAGAACTCCAAATTCATATAAAGCCAGCACAGATGTTTTTAAAAAGTGTTGCTCAGGATTGCCCAGTGCTGCATTCTTAAATTTTCCAACCATTTCTTGTTACAGGAGCAGTTTGGACTACCAAATAAAGATGGCTCTTGGTGCTTTCTCCCGCCTTGTTCTCATTGCATTTCTCTTTGCCAAGATTGTGGTGGCAGAAAGCAGAAGGCTCAGCCTTGGCCAATGTGAACTCAACAGTGTATCTTTCCGAGAATTAAGGGACAACTTTGATACAATCAAAGAAAACGTAGTAAGTGGAATTCATATGGAATTCTTGTCCATTGTGCTGAACCATTTAGTAGATTTATGTCAGGATCACGTGGGTGACGTACATCACTGTAACCTACAGTTCTATTGGCATACATATTTTGATGACTGTTAAGTGAAAAGGTATCTGTGTAGCTTCACCTTCTCTAGCAAAATGCAGATTGATGTTGCAGGAGTACACCCCCATTTAGTTGCAGAGGGGGCAGTGATGTGTAGCATTCAGCTCCAGGAAGAAACAATGGTTTTTCTGGCTGTCCAAGTGCATCTGGAGACTGTTCAAGTGACTCTTGCTCCTCTCATCAGTTGTTCATGAAGTGGGAGTTGCCCCCATGTAATGTACTCTGTAGCGCATCCAACATACTAATATTGGCAAGGATTTATACTCTACAAGCTTTTGGATCTTCTAATGAATGATATCATGATGAAAGAAGCATTGCTATTTAAAGCACAATGTGTTTTGCAGTTAGATTGTTCATAATTCCATATTTGAGAACTAATACAAAAAATAATTCCATAAAAATACCACCATTTAGATTGGGGCAAAAGGGTGGATATTTCCTTGAAGAAAAGTGATTGATGACACATATTGATAGTAGGTGACACCAAGTCCTGAGCTTACAAAATATGGCCATTAGTTGGGAAGGGAGCGTAGGAGTTTTCATCTTAAAAAGTAACATTTCAAAAACTTGGATAAATCCAAAAGTGAATACTTCTCCCCTTCATTATCAATTATTTCCCTACTATTCTCTTTCATATATATAAACACAGGGGCATATGCAATCCTCTTACACACACACATGTACACAGATTTTATTTTACCTTCCCTCCCCTGATATGCCGTATCCTGTTCTTCACCTTGATTCAGCCTAGCATGTATAAGAAATAACCTCACTTTAAATCCCACACATCTGTAGTTAAAATGATCTTCGCTACATTGTCAGAGCTATCTATTGCAGTACACACACCTTCTCTTGAGCAACCACAAACTATCTATAAGTTAAAACTTGACACAAGACTATTTTGGTCACATTCCAGGAAACAGTAGAGGTGCCCTAGGCTGATGTCTCACACCCATTTCTCTCTTTAGGTACAATACACTTTTTACCGGCTTGATGAAGCAATGTTCTTACATATCTCCAGGTTGTTAAGGAGCATGTCCATGTCAATCTCCTTACATGCCCTCTTAGGTTTTAGGAGTTAACAAAGTACCCCAGAATTGAAATTCTGTCTCCCTCCCATTAGGCTAAATGGTGGATGTCATCCACCCTAGAAAGATGCCATTTCCAGAAGTCAAAATGTGTATGAGGATATTAGCTTCATAAGTTGAACATGCCAGTCCATCAAACTTTGATCAGTAAAATAAGGACTTATGTTTATATTTGGTTTCCTTTACAATTTGCATGTCTTTTTTGATACACGTGTGTCTTAGTTGATCAATGAAATATGTTTTCAAAACAGTCTCAAGTTTTCTTTATGTAAATAATTTTTATCCCACCTTTCTTCAAACATGGGATCTAATGTGGCATACAACCCTTCAAAAACATTACACAATTTAAAAGCTACCTGCCACCACTACCACCCCCATTAAAAGATTAGTCCACCACATCATTTTAGTACTTTTTGATGTATTTAATTAATTAATGTAAATAAAAAAGCCAACGAGAGAAAAATAGTACAAATCTCAAGATTGGTGGACCAGAACTAAATGTGATTATAGTAGATTTGGAGTAGAAGAAGACAAGAAGAACATTCCTTTTCTAAGATCCTAACTAGAATGCATAAATATCTAGACTATGTTCTATGTTCAGTCATCTTCTTGGAAAGGAAATATATCCTTCTATCACAATTCTTTTTAAGATACTTTCCTTCTGTTTATATGGTTTGTCTTCTATTTGTCATTGTAGCAAACCCAAGATATCAGGACAGATGTGATTTTGCTGAAGGAAAGTGTTCTACGGGATGTCCCGGTAAGTACATCTTTACAAAATCAAAGTGTGTGAAGATCAAGTATTAAAATTGTCCCTTTATGTATAAGAGGGCATAAAATATAATGTAATCTGGTATCAGGACTGAAATATTTGAAGTCTCACTCATGGACACCTGTTCATTACATGTTGACTCTAGCACTGATACATTATTTGAATATGGAAGTGAACAGGATAGTCTCCATCACTACACTTGCATCTCTCTGTGTCCACTGAAGTCCAATATTTGCCAATAGAGATAGTTCGTTTTAGCTCAAAAGTGTGAGTAATGAAAATGATATAATATGTATAAACACAGCATCATTTTGTACACATACTTGAAATCACAATCTGTTGGATCATTCAAGCCTAATGGTTCTTCTTTTTGCTTTAGATTTCAGAGAGTTGCTGCTTACTTCGCCATCTGTTGAGATTTTACGTTGAAAGCATTTTCAAGCACTATGAGCCAACAAGTAACCTGCTAAGAAGGAAAACCAGCGCCTTAGCCAACGCCTTCCTCAGTATCAAGACAAAACTCAGAGAATGTGTGAGTATGGTTTCATTCATTGATTAATGTATTGTAGCCCATATACCCTGCTCTACAGCTGGAAAGTATGCCAAAGTGGAATCTTGAAATATACAACATTATCATTTTGTAAGTTCAGTGAAGATGGCTTGGTATCCAGGATTATTGATTGATAATTACATTTTACTTGACAAAAGGAAGTCAAACGTGGGAGAAATAGTTTGCTTGTATGGTCCTGTTCTATATTATGATTGTAATAATTTCTTTTGTTTGTGTTCTTTCCCATTCAGCATAATCAGAACAAATGTACTTGTGGGGAAGAGGCTCACCGAAGATTTAAACTTGTACTGGATGAATATCAAAAGGTAACTTGGCTTGCTTGTTTTCTCTTTTGCTGTTGCAGTTTCTGCTACTGCTTGATATATTGCCTAAATATGTTGAATTCTGGGCATGTATAACTTGATCTCAATCCATTGGGGAAAATATAGAATACACTAGCTTTTTAATAGTAAAAAAGTGATATCACTAACTTAAACGATAGTGTCAAAATGAAGAATGTTTAGGTTAATCTAAACTGGCTTTCAACACAGACGTACATCACTGTAACTCTTTGATTTCTGACACTGAATTATCATGTTGATCTATAAGCATCAATATGTTTATAGATAGTTAATGAAATATTTTTAGTATTTCAAATAGTTATGCTATGAAGAATGCTAAAACAAATTTAATTGAAAATTGGCAAATAATTTTGGTAAATAATAATCAAACAGGACCATGGCATTACAGTAGGATTTGAGACCTTTCATCACATCCCTACAACCCATTCTGGTATAGGTTGGGGTATCCCTTATCTGAAATATTTTGCATTTTGGATTGTTCAGGCTTTTCATATTTGCATATACACACATAAGGAGGTATCCTGGTATTGGGACTCAAGTCTAAAAACAAAATGTTTGTTCCATATAAATCTTAGCCTGAAGGCATTTTATACAACACATGTGCAGGAAACAAATAACCATTAGAAGGCAAAGCTGTCAGTATTTCAGCCACCCATGTAGACCATTTTGGATTTTGGACCATTTTAAATTTCAGAATTCCTGATTAGCAACACCCAGGGTCCTTCTACACAGCCCTATATCCCAGAATGTCAAGGCAGAAAATCCCACAATATCTGCTTTGGACTGGGTTATCTGAGTCCACACTCAGATAATGTGGGATTTCCTGCCTCCATATTCTGGGATATAGGGCTGTGTGGAAGGTCCGTCAGCCTGTATTCATATCTCAGGGCACACGGAGAAGGACAACAGCAAAGATGAACCCCTTGCTCTCCTCCCTCTTCTCCCCATAGTACTTGCATCCATGGGAGCTTTAGCAACGCTCAGAATCATAAAGTCAGAAGAAACTATAGAAGCCATCTAGGCAAACTCTGGGCCCTTCCACACAGCCCTATAGCCCAGAATATCAAGGCAGAAAATCCCACATTATCTGAGTGTGGACTCAGATAACCCAGTTCAAAGCAGATATTGTGGGATTTTCTGCCTTGATATTCTGGGATATAGGGCTGTGTGGAAGGGCCCTAGTTGTGATGTAGAAAGATACAGCTCAGCATTCATGAAGGATATCCACCCACCTCTGTTTAAAAACAATTATTATTATTATTATTGTTGTTGTTGTTGTTGTTATTATTATTATTTACTTCATTTGTACCCTTCCTTTCTCTACCCCAAGGGGGACTCAGCGTACAATCGCACCACCATGGTGCTTTAAAACATACAGACATCAGTTAAAAGCATAAATTAAAGTTAAACATAATAATCATAGTTTTAAATACATTCAAAAAAATCTCCACAGAAAGTCCACTACCATCTGAAGCAATCTATTCCATTCCTGAGCAAGGAAGGACAAGAAAGAAGTCCTTCCTATTGTTTAGGTATCTTATAATTTGAATCTCTTTGATAATTGAAGACGATGTATATATGCATGGTAACCTTCTTGTTGATTAAATGTTCTTCACTAATAGACTAATGACCTCAAATTATTTTCACTCCTGCAGCTTGACAAGAGTGTAGCAGCAATCAAAGCTCTGGGAGAGATGGAAGTACTCTTTGCCTGGATGGAAGGCTTCTAGAATTGACAACATTTTTCTTTTTCTTAAACATTGTTAGGATCTTTTTAAAAGTGCAAATATTATTTTTAATTCAATAATTCATAACAATATTGATTTTTAAAGTATATTTATTTTTGCAAATATGCTTATTAACTTTTTATAATAATGTTTTCCATCTGTTGGGCTGATGTAGCTTTGGAGCTATTAGACCAGTAACACTTTGGCAAATATAAAGAAAATGAGGACTTGAGACTGTCTCTCTCACCATAATCCACAGTCCAAAAACTGACTGATATTATATATATATATATATATATATATATATATATATATAGAGAGAGAGAGAGAGAGAGAGAGAGAGAGAGAGAGAGAGAGAGAGACCCACCAGACTGCACATATGATATTTATGTCTGAGAAACTATGTCGTATTTGTTACTATATATGCAAAACTATAAATATCCTAAGAAATCAATGACCAAATCCCACCTTAAAATCCAGGAAGCTGCTCTATATAACAGAGGTCTGGGGTATGGTTTAGTGGAGGGCTTCAGAATGATATGGCTGGGTCCTTCACCCCAGAACTGCAATGTGTTCCCATCAGGGATGGACAGGTTGGAGATGTCATTCTAATATGCTGCAATTGACCACATCATTGTGAGCAGCTCTGTAGAGTTGGAATTCAAGGACATTCGTGAATACACAGCAGTTATGGATCCATAATTCTCGGTTACAAATCTACAATTGCAATGTAGAATGCTAACATCTATCAGTTATCTCTCAGATGTACAGTCCTGTTTGTGTATCTCTCTCTCTAATTTTAAAGGGGTTGGATCTGTCAATATTTCTATTGTGTGTGTCTAGATCTTAATGTGCAAGAATTACTACTCACTATTTGGTCATGAAATATAATTTGCTTTATAGTAGGTTAATGTTATTTATTATAAATATGTTTTGTTATGTTATTTAAAAATTATTTATATTAAAGTACCAATATTATTATTTATTTATTGGCAGGGTCTGACACTGCAATCTTGTAACTTGACTAAAATATTGTAATTTAAGGATGAACTGTAATGAGTTTTTTACTTGAATTCTCAAACCTAAATATATTACAGTTTTGTTTTAATTGTAATAAATTTTATATCATCTAAATAAAGATACAGTATTTTTTTAAAATCTAGATGACTTGATGAATTATTTATGGGAATTGTCTGAGTGGGTGTGTAAATGCATTTTTATTTTGCTTTATTAATCACAAAAAAGCAAACCAAAGGAAATGGATTTGACAAAATATATGCATAGTTTAAATACTAGTCTGATTTGCAATAGTCCTTTTTAGTTACTAGTATTTCCTTATTTATAATATTATACTTCCTTATCTTTGATATGGTACAATCTTCAGGTATTCGTGCAAATTATTCTAAAATAACTAAGGTCACACAAAGGGCTTTGTGGTCTGTAACAAACACATCTGTATTTTGTAAAAACATACTTCTCTTTGAATTGCATTACATGTGAATTTAGAACAGGGATAGGAATCATGTGGCCAAAGTGCTACAGATAGCCTAAGTGGGATACTGAGCAGCCCTTGTAAATCCCTAGGTGCTTGCATTTTACAATCCACAACAATCTACCAAACATATAAGGCTGGGTAATTTTTTCACAGTAATGTAATCTTAAGATGCATGTCTGTCTGCAAGGACATAAGTAACATGAATTGTATTGCAGATGGTGTAATAAGCAATACCAGAAAGACTCAGTCCAGGCCTTTCTTATAATGAACCAATGTATTTAGTTCAGAAAGACAATGAAAAGACAAAGATCAGATGGAAAGACAAAGATCAGATGGAACGGCCATGTCTTTATTGGGCAGGTGTAAATCTGTCTGATAACAGCCCCCATTGTCTAGATAAGTTGGGATCACATCCAGGGTATCACCTCATCCTCCATGTTATCATTGCTGCATATGAGCACCTCATGTCAAGAATGTCAGAATGGGAACCAACAAACCATCAAGAAGGGGGTGGTGACTCTACTATCTCCTTGCTGGTTATGTGGGCATTTTCTTCTGACATCACAGATATGATCACGACAGTTGGGCATTCGCAGCAAGCTCTGTGGCTGGTGAAGAGTAGTGGCAATTGTGGTGACATAGTGATGAGACATTCCCTTTCCCCTGTGAAAGGGTGATGGCTGTGGTGTTCATCTGAACAGGGGATAGGTCCAAAATGGAACCAGTCCAGCTATCCAGACCACTGTGGAGCCTTTAGTTACTCCGCAATTTCCAGTAAACTCTGTAGTATCCCCCAACTTTGTCTAAAGGAGGGCATAGTTGGATTAAGGAAGAAAAACAAATGATACTCACTGCAAGTCCTTGCACACATCTACACTGATCACTTAGAGCAGTGGTTCTCAACCTGGGGTCCCCAGATGTTTTTGGCCTCCAACTCCCAGAAATCCTAACAGCTGGCAAACTGGCTGGGATTCCTGGGAGTTGTAGGCCAAAAACATCTGGGGACCCCAGGTTGAGAATCACTGACTTAGAGAATGTAGCATTTAAGAATGCACAAAGTGAATGCACACAGCAACATGAATTAAAGGTTTTAAATTGAGATAAACAAAATCAGGGGATACTCTAAAACACAGCATGTAATGTGTGTCAGCCCATTTAGATCGCATGGCAAAACTGACTAGGGGACAAGCACTTTGACAATTCACTCGTGCATGTTGTGGCAAGGAGAGCTGAAGAAAAAATCCAGGTTCCTCCATGGCTGTTACACCTCCTGTAGTATGTATAAGTGTGATGAATGGATTGAATCAATTGTATGTTTGGGGTCCGGCTGGGGCCTATTAAGCTCTAGCAGGGTTGAAGACACCATTCTCAAAATGGAACCTGGAACATTGCATTATGGAGAACAAAAGAGGTGAAGAATTCATTAACTTCGGCAAAACAATAGCTCTTTAAGTTAAAGAAGTTAAACAATCTTTCTGTTCCAGAATTGATAAGAGTCCAGCAGGTCTAAGCTGAATGACAGAGAATATCTAAACAACCAAATAATGGATAAAACCAAAATCGCTACATAAGGAGGCCCTCTTCCTTAGTGTGCTAGATCTGCAGGGATGTAGCTCTGTCCACTCACCTCTCATCTCCCAGCAGCAGGCCTGATCATTTATTTATTATTTATTTATTTACTTCGCTTGTATACCGCAGTTTCTCAGCCCGTAGGCGACTCAACGTGGTTCACAGCATAGCAAAAACAGTCATAACAAAATAGCAGAACGATTTAAAAACCATGAGAGCACAATATACAATAATGGCACATCAACAACAACACAACAACGTCTCGTAACTAAAATCGTGATCCAATTCATCGTCTATAATTCCGTTCCTATATCATGGAAGGGATGGTGAGAAAGTATAAATGTTGAATGTATGTGAGTGAACATTGGAGTATATGTGATATTTCCCCCTTGTCTGTGTAACAAATATAGCTATTATAAAACCAGTACTAGGTCTGTGTGTCTAATTCTTTCTCTGAAAGTACCTGATCTACTCTGTTCCACTGAAAATGGATTAAAGAACATTTTAAGGGTCAAAAATTATTCATGACATAAGTATCACCCAGGCCTCCAACCAGTTCCATGACTTCACCTGTAATCATCTGTACAGTGAAATTGTTCTATTCTCTGCCTGCTTCACACCAATCTAAATGGTTAATGTAGTTGTGCCCCATGTATGTTGTGAAGACAACCTGCAGTGTCTGTGTTATCTGACCTGTGAAGACAAGCCCAAGGTGATTTAACTTTAGGTATATTTAGTTACGTAGCAGAGGAGCTAACAAACCCTGTTAGTGAATTGCAGAGATGTATATCAGAGAACCAGCACGAGCGTTCTCTGATATACTTAGCACTTAGCACTTCCTAGCCAGTGTCTCAGCACATACATTGGTTCTGTTGTGTTTAGTTTTTATGAACAATGATCCTGTTGCACATTCATCCCAACTTTCATAGGGATACCGGTTAGAGAGTGCCAACACACATAGATAGAACCCGATGTACATAAGGACTCTCTTGCTGATGCCCTTTTTCAATGTCCTGCAGAGGGAAGAAGTAAAAACCAACCACAGAGGGACTAGGCATGTGTAAGGGAAATTTACAGTGTATATGTCCACAACAAGATGCCAGCCTAAATATATAAAAACAATGCCTAGAAATGTCAGTCACAGGGAATATAATGGAAGTTACTCATATGTACATATGCTTAGGTTTATGCTGCCAATATGATGAGAGCTGGTATGGAGTTTCAATTGCATAAAAAACACCATAGCTAAACTAGGTTTTCAAATTATGATGGATTAAATTGGAAGGCTTGTTTGATTCTAGCAAATGTTTGTCTCTTTGCTTGCATGACAGTTAGGGAGGAAAATCCTAACAATGACAATATGTTATAATAATGGTGATGCAAACTTGGACAATATGAAGAAGTTTCTGAAGGAAGATTTTTTTAAAAAAAACCCAAAAAACCTAAAAAGAACTCAACACACATCTCTTTCCTCCTCCCTCTCAGTATCTTGGCTTGCTAAAAAAAAATTACATAAAGAATGCCAGCAGGCAAAAGGCATTTTTTGGTTTGCATCACTTCTTTTGACAAGTCTCTGCTAGAAGGATTTCTTCTCCAAGACACAGCTGGTGTATGAAAATCTGATTATCTGGAAATATTGTGAATAGTTATTGGGGGAAAAATAAATTAATAAATTGCTGACTGCTCACTGAACACTCAAAAGTATTTCCTAATGGGACACATTTCCTGTTCCTCCTCTACCCACATATGGAAAGAAGGGGGAGTGTGCACAAAAGCAAGAAAAGGAAATACATGATAGCTTGTAAAGCAGGGACTATTTTGAACATGGAAAATCCATCCCTATAAACCAATCCTGGAAAAACCTAATATCATGTAAGACCTATTAAGAGATTAGGTTTAAATTGTCTTTTGCTAGAAGATTTATTGCAACAAATTCTCCCCAGGAAGCTTTCCTGGCAGCGGTGGGCAACATCTGTAGTTAAAACCAAGTAGTGGACTGCTATCTTGATCTATGACAGTCTCACTACATTATTATTATTATTATTATTATTATTATTATTATTAAACTTTATTTGTACCCCGCTAGCATCTCCCGAAGGATTCGATGCGGCTTACACAGGCCGAGGCCTCAACACACAACACAACAATACAATCTAAGCAAATCAAACAATTAAAAACAGAATAAAGCAAAATAAACAACAGGCACAATACAGTAA